TTCTTCTTTCTATGTTTATAAACCTGTTGTCCACATAGTCCATCCTTACTCAGCAACCACCACCCAATCACAACTTCCTAACAATTTGAACACAAATTCACACTAATTGCAAATTTTGTTTTATATTATTATTATTTTTTTATTTAGAGCTTTTATTTACTATGGTTGCCAACTTCCACCCAGCGCAGCCCATTTCTATCCAACAATCACCATCCAATCACGGCTTTCCAGTGATCTTGCACCCATTAATTGTAATATTTATTTATTTTATTTTGATTTAGAGCCTTTGTTCTGTTAGAGCATCTCCAACGGTAACTCAAATTTTTCACCAAATCTGAGTAAAAAATGACCCATTTCACCAAATTTGATACCACTCACTCCAACGGTTCACCTTTCACCAAATCTATCGCGGGACAACCGGGTGGTCGACCGGCCGGTTGACCGGTTAGGCAAAAAAAAATTTTTTTTTTTTTTTTTCGCGAATTGTCTGAACTTTTTTTTGAACTTTCTGAACTTTTTTCGGGACGACCGGGTGGTCGACCGGTTAGGCAAAAAATTTTTTTTTTTTTTATTGTTTGAACCTTTTCTTCGAACCGTTTGAACCTTTAGGCGGTCGACCGGTTGGTCAACCGGCCGGGCAACCAGCTGGTTGACCGGTGTACCTCTTTCAACGGTCAGTAACAGTGATTTCGTAAAATCTGTGTCTCGTTCTCAGTTTGATGCTTTTTTTGCTGAAATCTCATTTTGATATCAATCTGGTGCAACGGTTGGAGCATAAAAAAGTGCCTTTTTTATCAAAATTTGAATTTGATACCAACTTTGATTTACCGCTGGAGATGGTCTTAGTGATGTAGCTGATAATTCAACTCAATGAATTTTGTTGTGATAGTTAAGCAAATATACAAAGATTTATTTCTTGGTTCTCTCTCTATTTTCTTTCTTCACTCTCTAGACTCTGTTTCTGTTAGTATTTTTCAGAACACCCAGTTTACCTAATCTTTGCTATAAAAAATAAAAAAAAGAAGAAACTATATATGTGAGTATATATGTATATACATAATTGCAATCGGTTTAACACCCATTTTAACCCATAATTTAATTATTTTCATAATTAAATTAGAATTACTTTTATAAAGTAGAGAGAGAAACAAAAGTGGCGGGAGATGGGTTTCCATAGCAGACAAAAGTAACAACTCACATTCAAATATGTGAGGCCATTTTATAGCCAATAGGTATGTTTATATGAGCTGAATGGTTATTGTGATGTTTTCCCACAAGTATAGGAGGTGTTGATTGATATGTAGAAATTGAGTAGATAGAGAAAAAAGAATGGCATTTTTTATAAATTTGAAGTTATGTAAGGGACATTTTCGTCTTCAAAATGAACCTACTCTCCACATGGGTGAGTGGTTCTCATATTCCGTAATGTTAGATAGAAAAACTAATAGTGCACTTTAGTTCACAAATCACATATAGGTTAAATAGTGATTTCCAAATATTATGGGAGTAAATCGCACCCGGTCCAAATTACAGAGGTAAAGTAAAGTTTGCTCCAAAATAAATTATAAAAATGGGAGTATAATGGGCCCACGGCCCAACTAGACCGGCCTGAGACAAATCTGCACCCAGTAAAATATACAAGGGTAATTATTCAGTATTCCCGAAATATGAACACGTGATGTTGCATAAGATTTTGATTGGTAAAGAGAGGTAAGGGCCCATGATTTATGTTGGGGATGGGAGAACAACATGGGACTAAGTGATTGGCGATTGGCTTGGAGTATGAACGGGTAGTTACTTTTATTCTATTATTTCAGTTACCAAATTTTTATTATTGTACATATCACTTTGTTGAGTAAAAAAATTTATGAAATTACTAGTTCATGTAGTCTTTCCATCATATTAAATGAAAATGTAGAATCATTTATTTCACGAATAAGGTGATGGGATTATAAATCTTTTAAAATTATCAGTTCCGAATTTCTTTTTTAATATTAGTTTAATCGATATCGGCTCTAACTAGATATGAAACCAATACTTATTATGAATTGATTGATAAGGTTATTTTTGCTTCTATCTTTATACCGACCTCAAGAAGTTAAAAAAAAATTATTATAGATCACAAATAAATTATTAATTTTTTTATCAAATCTCTCATACAGGTGTGACTTACACAAATCATATATGTATGGATCCTGCACTCATATAAAAAATTTGATAAAAATTTAATAATTTAGTTGAAATCTCCAACCTAACTCAGTTAAAAAAAGTGATACGCATCAATATTTAAAGCCATTATATATTAGCAATATTTAAAGCCATCACCATTAGTATGGTGTCATTTGGGAACTTTATTATAAGTTGCTTTTTGCAACTTGGGTTAAAAGTCATAAATGGGTCTTTTTTTCCTATCAAAATTATTTGGGATGGTAGCTAAAAGTTATCTGTATAATTACAATTATATTTTTTATGGGTCAAAATGAGTCACATGGGTGAAATTGTAAATTTTTTTAATTGGGTGGGGTAATTTAATTATTTTATTGTGATGTGACATCATAAACAAATATTAATTAAAAAAACTAAAAATAATTTTTTTACGAATTTCTCAAATCACTTTCTAAAAAAACCAAAAAACTAGATTAAAAATCAAAAATCAAAAATTAATTTTTAACTATTTTTTCAAAACAACCCTAATATTTTAGTGAGCATGGCAATCTAGTTATACTTTTAGGTATGGTTAGGTATCCATTGCATTGAAAATTAAAAAAGAGGTGTTTCTGATTGGTGACATGGTTTTGCAGGCTTTCATAATAATAATAAAAAAATTATAAATCAGTGAAATAGTAAAAAAATAATTATATTATAAATAATAAAAAAATTAGTGTAACTTTGACCCACAAAGTATTTGCACCATGTTATATATGTACAAAATTTGCATCATTATAAAATTATAAATATTTTATTACTATTCTACTGATTTGCAATTTCCCCATTAACAATAATAGACAATTTTAATGGACAAAACACAGAGGGGAGAGAGAGAGGTCAGTCACAATCAGAGGTCTTAAATACAAAGGCAAGGGCAAGTGTGGGTGTCAAACTTTTACTTCCATTAATAATTCACATGATTTTTGCCTGTTTTTGCTTTTTTTTTCTGGAATTTCTCTCTCTCTCCATAATTCTTGCCTCTTCCCACAAAAATAATTTCATAGAATACCAATTGGGTCCTTTTCAATTTCCAATTTTCTTTTAATATTACACCCCCAAAAATACAGTCAATGCTGTACAAATCCTTATCAAACCTATGCACGCCATCCATAATAAGCCAAGCTTTCCACTGACAATAAAAAAAAAATGGCATCGTAAAAACTTGGCATCAATTTTTAATTTTTAATTATTTTTATTGTTGTGCAAAAATAATTTTAAAATTTTCACACACAAAAAATAAAAATAAAACAAATTTCAAAATAAGTCAGCTTCAGGGCCCAACATGGACTTCACTTCAATGATTTGATTTGAACTATTAATTTTTTTTAACTCTTATATTTGGATTATTTAAAAAAAAATTAAATTAGATTATGTGATGTGATAATTATAATTATACTTCTTTTTAAAAAATAGATATTGTATGCTCTATTTTCAAAATTATACTCTACCTTTCGAAAATGAATATGACAAAATCATATTATTACCATTATTGGAACAATTTGATTATTTTTTAATAAATGATCTATACAATGAAACTTAAAAATTAGCAAATCAAATTATTAAAATAAGATCTATGAACCAATCAATTAAACTGGGTTGGTCTAGTCCACAACTTAGACTCTTTTCAAAAATAATTTATCAAATAAGTTGTTTTTTTTCTTCTTTTTCATATCAATATTTTGTATAGTCAATCTTTACAATTTCTAATTTGATCACCCAATCAACACTTGAATGCTATTAAAGCTGAATGACAATAAACATCAGTAATTTCTCTCTGCCCCATTCCTTGACATTCAATAGAACATCAATTTCATGTCATTTTCTTTAATATTTTACTGCCTGATACATATTCTTGGAACTAAGAACTCAAATATATATTATATCAACAATGTTAGAGAACCATAATTTTTGTGGCCACAATGGCTCAAAACTGTCAAAATGACGTCGTTTTTACATGCCAAAACGACATCATTTTGACAGTTTGAAGCCATTGTGGCCACAAAAATTGTGGCCCTCAAACATTTTCCATATTATATATATACATATCAAGTCTTCTTCCATATTATTGTGGATGTACTTCCTTCTCCGACAGTAACAGCGGGGGAGTTGGACAGTAACGATGTCGACGGGAACGGCGAGCTTTAAGCAGATCTTATTTTTCAGACCACATTTTTTGACAGATCACTAGTTTTTCCTAAATCGTAGTTATTTTTTTTTATGGATTTATTTTTTGTTGTTTGTTTTTTGTTTTGTTATTTAGTTGGGATGACCTTTGAAGTCTTGTTTATATACTGTTATTGTTTTGTTAATATAATATTTTTCATATTCTAAAATATATATATATATATATATATAAATCATTCTCGTAATACAATTCACTTCCTCAACAATCAACTCAGTAAATAATACACACATTCTCGTTAGTCTAAAAAAATTATTAACTTGTAAAATGAGGATAAAAATAATAATAATAATAATGATTAAAATAATGGTAGTGCCTAAACTGCCTATTACTTATCTTCTAATTAATAATTTGTTTTTAGAAGCTGATTTACATATGAGCAAAATAGGGGGCCGTATGTAGATGTAGAGCAGTATGAGGACATAAAATATTGTTCCAACATTATAGAATTCTGATTAACAAATAGTACTGTTGAAGTTGAGGGACTCATTAAATATTAATAAATTCTTCAAACCCCCAATTTAATACACACATGACTAGGTCCTACCAGCCCCATTTCCTTTCCACCTTCCCTCTCCTCCCCTGTCACCTCTCCCCTTTATATCCCCCTCCCTCTTCCTTCTCATCACCATTAATGCTAACCCCTAAAGCTCACAACCCACGCATCCAATCACACCCTTTAAAGAGCTAGTAACCTTTTCCAACACAAAACTTTTAGCTCAGACACACCATCTGATCACACAATCAGACACAACTCAACTTGTTCAAAAAAATGTCTATTTGTTTTCACCTTCCTATCTTTCCCTCTCACCTCTCTCCTTTATATTCCCCCCCACCTCCTTTTCATTCTTACCACCATTAATACTAACCCTAAAGCTCATCCACCCATCCAAACTCACCCTTTAAAGAGCTAGTGGTGGATCTCAACACAAGTGTTTCAACTTTCAACGGCCAACACGAAATTTGATTATAGAATCAAACACCACTAATTTAGAAAAGCTAGTACTAAGTGTTTCAACTTTCAGGGCTCAGTCACATAATCTTATCAGAGAATCATATACAACTCGTTTTCAAATGGGTAAGAAAATGAAGTTCCCATCTCTCTTCAAGAACAAGGAAGCAAGGCATCCATGGCAATGGGCATCGTGCACGCAGCCAAGAACCCTCTCTTTCCGAGCCGCTGCCACCGGCGACGATATGTTCAAGACCGTTAACTCGGTATTTTTCGACCTCTCCGACGGGGTCGAAACGCCACTGGATTCCTGGTTCACCAACTCATCAGAATCCGCGAGCTTCTCGACCCAGTCGGAGGACATAAAAGGCGAGTCAACGGAGATGATCATACGAGGAGTCCAATCAGAGAGGCTGTTTTTCGAGCCAGGCGACACGAGATCGATCTTGACGGAGGAAAAGTCCGGTGAGTTTCCGTTCAAAGAGAGCGTGGCAATGGCGATGGAATCGGAGGACCCATATGAAGATTTCAAGAGGTCTATGGAGGAGATGGTGGAGAGTCATGGGTTGAAAGATTGGGAGTGTTTGGAAGAGCTTTTGGGGTGGTATTTGAGAGTGAATGGGAAGGTGAATCATGGGTTTATTGTTGGTGCATTTGTTGATTTGCTTGTTGCAATGGCTTCTTCTACTACTTCTACTTCTTGTTGTGAAGATTCTACTACTACTACTACTACTACTACTACTTTCTCTTCTGCTGCTTCTTGTTTTTCTTCTCCTTCTTCATTATTATCACCTCTATCTCTATCTCCTCCTCCTCCATTGATGCAGCAGAAGGAGATTGTTGAGGAAGAAGAGGAAGACAAGACGGTTGTGTCTTAGTTTCTTCATTACATCTTTTTTTCTTCAAATGTATATTAGTAGTAGGTTAAAGAAATGACACTGAAACTAGATCAATTCTCTCTCTATCTCTCTCTGCTACACACAACAATGCTATGGAGTCCAAAAAAAAATTAAAGTCTGTAAATTAGATTTATTTTTGGTACAACTCATATTAGAATAAGTTCGAATTTAATTCACGTTTTATTTTCTGATTATTTTTTTTAATACGCACATAAGTGAAGTTATTGATGAGTGTCTCAACCAATATATACGGTGCTTCAATTTTTTTTATTTTTTAAATCAATAAAAGCAAAATTTTATTATCGATAAGAAACCAATAATATAATGAATTTGATAGTTATTTTTTAGTCTAGAGAGTAAAGTTCATTACTTTTATTAATATTTTTTTAAAAAATATAAGGAATATTAATTAATAAATGATATAAAATATTGATCAGGCATGTATATATGGATAGGAGGCACATATGCTGATATGTATGGATATTCATGATTTATTATTATTTTATTTTTTTTAAGTGTAATATTTTGAGGATGATGAGTCTTGCCTTGAATGGTAATATTCAAAGTCAAAAGCAATATATGAAGTGGAAGTGAACAGAGTTCTTTTTAAGCATGTATCACAATCAAAGGCATTTATTAACACCACAGAATGTGCTTCATCAACATATTAACCATGTTGTCCTTATATTATATCAATTTTTGTTATCCCCATGATACATATAATAATACATATATGTATGCATATAACTTAGGTACAAACTCCTTAGTTTAAAACTCTCTACTTAAAAATTTATAAGTTGAGTTTTAATCATACCTTATAATTAGTAAAAAAAAAAATTCCTTTTTGGTTGATAATTCAGGATATTTCGTGCCCGTCCAGCCTAATCTAATTGGATTCGAATTATCTCATATTTAGACAATCCATAACTAATTACTGGAAATCCTAAAATTAAGAATCGGACAAACCTCTAATAACATCTTTGGAGATTCGAACTCAAGTTCAAGTATTTACAGCTCATCCAACCTCTTGACTAATTTTGTTTAGTAACTTAAACAACAGCTATGAGGGGGAAAAGGGGAAGACAAGGATGTGAAATGCACAGGCTGGAGTGACAATAGGACCATCTTGGAGTGACAGTAGTAGGACCACCCCTTTCCCTTCAATATTCATAATTCCAACCCCACTTCTATAATTGCCAATCAGAGTTCCTCTTTATCATCTTATTGCTATAGTAAAGCCAAAAAAAAACTCATGAAAATGATGTTTACATTTTAGTATATGTTTGGTAATGTATTTTTGTGAAATTTTTTTGACTGATGATATATATTTCAGTACCTATATATGCATAATTTGGGAAAGGTATCTCAGAAATTAGTATCAACATTTATGGGACACAGTGATCATTGCAATAAAGTTTTTATTCAATCCCCAAAACAAGACAATGCAATAATATTCTAAGTAAAGTTGTCATAAAATCAGTGAGTTCAAAAACATGAAATCTGAGTTTCACAAAATGTCTAAAAGAAACAAAATCAAATACATGATGAGATCTGTAGCTCTCAGTCAAAGAAATGCCAGGTTGTGTTTTAAACAAGAAAATTCATAATTCATGTGACAAGAAATGATGTGAAAGAGAAAATAAAGCAAAATTGACATGTTTGGTATCCTCATCATTTTTATTTTCCTTTACATACATGTGCAAGAAATTTGAAAAACAACTCATTTTCTATAAAATACCAAAAAATTGTTTTAAATTTTTGGAAATAGTTTTCACACAAAAATAAAAACGAGTGATTTTTTTGAACTTTTAATTATTTTTATTATGGAAAACAATTAGAAACAGATCACATGGAGTGGTTGGTATCATCGCTTGTACCAAATTCATTCAATTTCTATTCCATCAATGATTCATCTCATCAAAATTTTGTGTGAAGAAATCCAAGAAATGCATTTCTATAGCAAGTTTTTTTTTTAACCGTTTTATATTACCAGAATATATGACAAGATATTATTTATTTTTATTATTTTTTGATAATTATTTTCAAGCAAAGAACCAATTATGAATGTCCACATAAACATTGACACAATAGGGGAATTCAAAAGGGGTGAAACTGTTTGGTTTGGTAAGTGTTGATGCATTCACAGTTTGTTTTCAGAAGTTTTAAGGTTCTCTTTGGTTCTTAAATTTTTAAAACAATGGAAAGCAGTTTTGGTTCTTGACTCACCTTAAAATCGAATCAAATCAATCCGTAAACATCCTATGATGACTAATGGCTTTTGTCAATGTTAAACCAACAAGGTTGTTTGTTTGTTTGATATATTGCTAGGGAGCTTGAACCACAATTTGGAGGTACAATCATGGAGGCTCTCTCTCAAATACACAAGTTTTTAAACTGTTGTTGTCACATGCAGTGGAACAATTTTATGATAAGATATAATTGTGTACTACACAAAACTTCATGAAGTGGTAACAATGTTGGGTTATTGACACAAGTGTCTATAAAAAGAAACTCTGCAAGAATTGAAATTGTAAATTGAATTATCAAACAGAGCATGGAGCCCACTCTTTAGATTTTACCTCTAGCTAATCGCCAATCACTTGTGTTTGGTGAAAAGATGGAGAAGAATCAATAAATTTCAAATATCAATTTTATAAATTGTTTATTTTTTTATTTTTTATTTTATTTATGGATTCAAAAGTTTCATTGTAGTGTGAATTATATAAAGAGTTAAGTACAAATACGCCTATGTTATGTGTTGAGAGATAAATATGAGTTTTTCATAATATTAAAATTACTAGACGTAACATTTCAAAAAAAAATAAATTTTAGTGTACTTTTTTCAAACGCAACACTCTAATATAACACTCAAAAAACATAACACTTCAATATAACACACTAAAAAACTTCTTAGTGTATTTTTCTCAAACGTAACAGTATAACATTTCAAAATAAATTTCTTAGTATATTTTTTTCAAACATAACACTCCAATCATATCTCCAATGGTTCATTACTTTTTTCATCAAATTTGAGTAAAAAATAGCTGATTTTCTCAATCTGATACGGCTAGCTCCAACGGTGTGCACCAAAAGGAAAGGGGTCGTCCGGTTGGTCGACCGGCGGGTCAATCGACCGGTCGACCGATAAGGCTTATGAATTTTTTTTTTCCCCTCCTGATTACTCATGTCAAAACCTTTTATTTGTTAGTAAACATTGCTAAGTTGTGAACTGAGTGTAACATTTGATTTGCATTCTATCTTGATGCTGCTATCCAATTCTGAGGAGAAGGGATCTGATGAATTAGCTTCTCTGATCTGATCTGATATCTGCCCCCTACTTGGAAACAGCAATGGGAAATCAATTGCTTGTGCACTTTTTCATGGCTAGTGTGGTAGGGTTGTTGTGTGTATCTTCTTTATCACCTTCTTCTCTGGGTTCTTTATGCCAAGTTTTGGACAGCCCAAATTCATAACCATGGCAATTTTGGATGATTATGTTGAAAAATGGAAACTATGACACAATGTCTGGTTTGTGTCCAGAGAATGGGAAGAAGGTACCCCCTTTTAAATCTGGAAGATTTTCGTGTTTCGGAGATGGGTGTATGAATCAACCCCTCTTGTATCATCAACCCACAAGTTTATCAAGTAATGGTACAATAATTTGGGGTTTTCATGGTACCTATGATTTGGATTCTGATATTAAAGGTGGGATTAGTGGGATTTCTTATTTTGAGGTTGTTTGGGAGAAGAAATGTCACGCCCCAAAATTTGGACAATTAAATATTAAATTAGGACTAAACCCCAATTAAATATTCATGTGACCACACAATTAATAAAGCCAAAAATAAAATAAGATAATAATAATCATAATAATAAATAAATGACTAAAGAAAATTTGGGTCGCTACAAGAAAGTGGGTTTTGGAAGTTGGGTTTTTAGTCATAAACTCCAAACCTCAAAATTGTATCCATGGCTGATGTTGTACCTTAGAGTTGATGTAACCAAAGGGTCAGGGTCATCTGGGGGGTTAACCCCGGGGTCGTCTGGTTAGTCAACCTCCCAGTGTAAAATCTATATAAAATTTTATGAAAATTAGTCGTCCGGTGGGTCGTCCGGTTGATCATCCGGTTGGTCATCTGGTAGTGAAAATGCAACGGTAATGAATAGTATTTTGGTGAAAGACGAAGCGCATTCTCATTTTGGTGAAACTTTTGGTGAATTCTCATTTTGATATCAATTTGGTAAAACCATTGGAGTGAGAAAAAGTGAGTTTTTTTATCAAATTTCAAATCTGATGCAGGGTTTGATGCACCGTTGGAGATGGCCTAACACATAAAAACTCCTTAATATATTTTTCTCAAACGTAACATTCTAATGTAACATTCCAATATAACACTAGAAAACCACACTAACAAAAAATGTAGATTTCCACACTCGACAACCAACACTTCAACCACTAATCTCTCCAAAAAGAAATTTTCACACATCACATTTTCATTCACATCCCAAAAATAAATTAGAAAATTGAAAAAATGAATCACAAAAAGGTATTTACTTAAACTCAAATGGCACCAAATCAAATAAATATGACTTTTTAAAACAAAAATGACTAATTGGTTCATAAGAAAATGACTAAATGAATCAGCATTCTCTCATATAGAATTTATGGTTAAATTTTCCTAAAAAGATTTGTAAAAAGAAAAATAAAATAAAATAAAAAGTAATAGAAAAAAAAAGTTACTAAGTTAATATTGGAGATATTCATGTTGGATGTCACTTTGTATTGTTGGTTGTTCCACTTTGTAATTGTTGACACCATAAATAGTAATTTTATTATTATTGTAAGACACGTGACACTTTCTTAATCAATCAGGAGTGAAAAGAAGTTACAAAATTAGTGGTCTTGCACGGTGGAACATAGAAGACAAGGTGGAAGAAGTTAAAGCACATCTAAAGAATATGATAAACAAATGACTTAATGGAAGACATGGAGGGATATGTGTGTCATGACCCAAACCCACCCCTATAGGTTTAGCATCGTAACTGGTCAGTAA